CTCTATTCAAAATGGCGCTATACAGGGGTCAAAAAATAGAACGCCTAAAAGAGCGAAAATTTACACGTTTTCCTTTTTATCTTGAAAACTAAAAATATTTTGTTAAGACATGTTGAACAAAAGTTGTGCATAATTGCAAGAGCTTTCATATGATTCTATTCAAAAGGGGCTGGCCCCTATGATTAGGGATTTAGGGAGCTTAAAAGTTTTTGCTTTATAGTTCAAAAACGGTAAATATTTCGATCTGGATTATACGAACAAAATTGTTCTTTGACACCTTTTTAATCTGATGAAAATGTTTTGTGTTCGATTATACCGGGGGTATTGCGTAGTACGTAGTTGAAAGCAGGCCAGGTAAACAGGTAGCGTTTTTCATTCGGAAAGGAAATCAGACCTCTTCATGTGTATACTTTACACAAACTTCTTATCAGTAATAAATCCTATGGTATTTAATGTTAATTTTCTTCTAAATAGGGCTTAATACGTGTTTTACGGTTCACTAATAAATTATTTATAACGAAAAGTCTTTCTTTTTTATTTATTATTAATCAGTTTTACAGTGAAAACGTCTTCATAAACGGAAAATATTTAATCCATCTTTCTACATTGATTATTATAACAATTATAAGTTATTTTAACTTTATGCATCGAATAATTCACGATCATTAGTTGTATACATTTGGCGATCTACAAGATCACCTAGATGTTTTTGTAACAATTATGTAATCCAACGCGCAAATCCCACACTGTCTATCTAGGTCACTAGTGTACCAGCCACCTGTCGTAAACAATGCAAGTGTCTGTGATCTGTGAAAATCATGTTTTTTATTTATTGAATCAATAATAATACTTCACCGATCTCTCATTTAATCGTAATTCGAAACATGGTGCATAAATCATTTTGAATTGTGATCGCTTTCTTTGGACTGTTCACTCAAAATTATTTCTCTATTCCATGTAATGTATTTTATTTAAATTGTAATTGAAAAGGGGCTTCGGCAAATAATTATAATAATTATAATTAGTGATGGAAGTCTTGTGATACGTAATGTACTATTATGTACGTTTTATTTTTACCATCACTCTTTTGTTTCTTCATTATTTTTATCGATAATAATAAACATTAAACGTTAAAAAAAATACTTTAAAATATACTATTATTCACGTTATAAACAGTTTACATCTAGCTTTGTCACTTTGTGTTTAAAATTTTGTAGCCCAGTCCTCATTTACAAGCACATGTCCGCAGATAGCAGCGGGTATGTCGATTTGAAAATCCGTTGTGTACTCCGATAGTTACAAATGGAAAATTGGGTTTGAAATCATGTCGACTCCTTTCATATCATTCAATTTCACTTTATTTCAGCTTGTTTTAATCAATCGTAATCGCTTGTGCATTTATTCATTTCAAGTTTTATGCCTTTTGATAGCCAAAAAAAAAAACACGAGCAAGGTTTACACCACTTTTTTCCTGTATTTATCGAAGTGGTAATTGTTTTATGAATCTAAACTACATGTACGTAACATAAGTGAACTTGTGATGAAAATTCATTAAACGAAAATAAAGCAAGAAAAAGTTAAAGTTTGTATTTTGCAAAATAAATCAAGTCACATAAAACAAAGACGAGTTGTAACGCTCACACACGGACACACACACAAACGTTTTGGTAACTCGGAATAGTCCAGAGATAAACTATATTTTCTTGATGACGGAATGTCCAGTGCATCTAATTTTCACGTCTGGGATTGTCCACGGCGGATCTGAAACTGACTCTCTCACACAACATACGGGATTCACTCAAACTTCAATTAACTCATTTACGCAATTATCACACATATACGAGTCGGACACTCTTTGAGGCAGAGGATTGACACTAATTCCTAAAATAAATATTGAGTGACAAATTACTTTTTGCTGTCTAAACATTAATTGCTAGATAAATGAATTTGAGCATATGTCAAAAATAAGCATTGAAAATAATTCTTTTTATAAAATTAAATTCTGTTACATTTTAAAATAATTTTTTTTAGAATTTACTCTGTGACATACGCATGCATGATAATAGTAAGTGGAGTTAACGTTTCTAATACACAGGGGGAAATCCAACATGAAATTAAGCACTTTTGAGTTTGCAGTTATTTGCTAGTAAACTTAAAATGATATTGTACAGAATGGTATACTATTTCGTCCAATAAACAGAATATTATACATGCCTTTACATGTACAATGTCAGTACGAATTTAATTGACGCAAAGCATCAAATTGGCTGCAAAGCAAAACATTCTTTCACATGCAAGGAATTCTAAGCTGAAATAGTTTTTCAATTCTATTTCAGGCTGATTTCAAAGCAAAATAAAAAAATGATTTTACCGCATTTGCTCATAAATAGATTTATCGATGTTAAAAAACAAACATGTTCAATGATGTATAAGAAGAATTTATTGTCATCAAAATGAAGGTGTAAGCCTGTCCGACCTCGATACCCTGGATCTTTATTACGTGATAATGCTCATGGTTTCTGCAGAGCAGGCTATGCTGCAAATCGCAGTGCAAAATTAAAAAAAAAAATATCTTCATGATCTTTGTGTCATTTGTAGATGAAGAGTAAGTTCAAAACAATTTTTACTAAAAGTTGAAAAACTCCTCATTTTTTTTTTTTTTTATTCACCATAAACTATAACCACATCATCATTATCCTGAAAATCAAGAGATTTCTTTTCAAATCTTACACACTCTCAGGCTGGGGAGTATCTGATGTGAACTCTTTTTTATGACCATAAATTATCGATGATCATGAGATATTAATGGCAATGAAATTGAAATATATTTCAACATTTAATATTAAGTTTAAGCAAGATTTTAAAATATTTTACGCATGATTTTTACTTGTTATAATTTACGAATTATTTTATTGAAGTAATAAAAAAAGAGTCTCATTTCCCCATGTGCACTCACTAACACAATCACAAAAAGATTGACCTCTACCGCAGCCGATAATAATTACATGTTTTATATGTATGAACTTTTACATGGAAAAGTGACCAAACATATACATCCAGAGCTTTCAGAATATGGTTTTACAAAATTAGAAAATTCGTTATTGCCAATTTATCATGAAATATATAATTGAGTTCTTTCCTTAATTATTGAATTCCTATGTATTTAACTAGGTTCTTAAATTATCGATTCGCTCTGATATTTGGTTGTATAATGATTACAGTGATATAAACGTAAATATTGGTCAGTCATTGTTGCTGGACGACGACTTGTTTTCTCCTCTCACAATGGTAGCGCGTATGAACAGCGTTATGAACACAAACTTGTAAACAAAATAAACGGCAATTCACAATCAAAGTACTCAGAAGTACTGAAAGCCAGGTCATTATATGAACAAAGACCGTGGTGACAGTTTAAAATCAATTTCAGACGTATAGAGGATATGTTACATACAAAAATATCTCAATGGCATGTATATTAAAATGTTTTAAAAATTAAATAAAATATAGCTAGAAATTAACAGCGTAAAATATTTATCACATGTATCGTTTCGGGGTTTTATATACAAACAGAAGTAACTAATCACAGATGCAGCAAGATTAATTAAGGTCAAACGACTCTGCACTGATGTGTCCTCAGCGGAGAGTTTTACATCAAGTCATTAATGGTGTTCCCTGCATTATATTCCTCTGATAGTACAACCTTTATTTATAGAATATGGCGCAGCCAGGGATACCTGGTGAAAACCTTTCGCACCTTTTAAATTGCTTTGTAAAATATTAGTCAAAGGAGCCAGGAAAAATATTAAACAATTTTATATTTTAATAAAAATATTCGATTTACTATTTCTAAAGGTGTTTGCATGGATTTTGTTTTCTCAACAGCGGCTGGGCGTACGCACTATATTTTTTACTCGTAAACTCAAATTGGAGATGAAGAAGCAGCATTTCCCCATTGCTCACCGTCGCAATAGCCGGGCATTGCTTTACGAACAATGAGCCCGGCTAAAAAAGGAAAACCAAAGAGAAAAAAGATGTCTGTATAGATGAAAAACACAACTCATAAATTTGTTTTTTGAACGACCACATACGTTTCTTTCTTTCTCCCATGCATTTTCGACTATACAGAAAAAAGATCACTAGAACCTTTGGTTATATTAAAAGAAAGGTGTTGGACCTTCAAACGGCACTATATCCGAACAGCTATTATACAGCCTATCAAATATCACGGCGTTAATAAAAGAATTATTTAGATATTTCAAAAACTACTAATTTCATTCTAGGGGAAAAGCCACGCAGCTGTATACAGACATTCCGAAATAATGTTTCATGAAGCGACAGGTTGTTAAATTCCTCTCATCACTATAAGTATCCCATCCCTTAAAATGAATAAGAATGTCCTTCCGTCTCTCCTTCTGTCACACTTTTGCCTTTAGCTCAGTTCAAAGCTCAGTTTCAAACAAACTATCCAAGATATTTTTATCAATCTTAATATACTGAAAGAAATTAATTAGAGTTATGCAATTGCATTAACATTCTTTAAAACTAGACTTTATATACATGTATATACCTCACTTTTCTTAAATTAGTGTTTAGCTCAGTTTTAAAAATACCATTTAAAATGGTGCTATCAAACTTCACATGTTGATGCATATTGATGAGAGCTATTTAATGGCATCACCATTTTTAACTTGGCCTTTCTTTCGACCTTGACCTAACTCTTTTTATCTCAATTTTAGCTCTAACGAGAGTTAGTTATTGCTTAGCACAAGGTCATTTGGAAAGATCAAGGTCACACATACAAGTATTCCTTTACAGTCTTTTTCCTCTCGAAACATTGTAAGTTGCTTCTCTTTCAAGGTTTTTTACTTGTATATCTCTAGTATGTGGCTTTTGACCTCGACTCAAGGTTACGGCTTCTAGTTCGTAACTCCAACGGAAGACCTATTCATTGCTTTGCAACGAGCTCGGCTCTAGTTAATTATATTTATACAAAAGCAACCATGGGTACTGTAAGTTTGTTCAAACTATGACCCCACCCCTTAGGTATGGTGGAACAACAGAGGGTCAAATTTTGCATGGAAATTTATAGAACTCATCTTCAAAAAATCTGCTGCTCAAGAACAGCAAGCCATGGGTAGTCATATTATAATAGAAGCATCTTATTCAAATTAAGGGTAAGTTGTGTGGGGCCACAGTGAGTGATCAGAGTTTAATACTGAACTGATTTCTGTTTCTTCCTAGTCAATGTGCTAAAGTGGGTGATGTAACCCATATGCCTCTTGTTTTTGTTTTGTAGGATGTAGAAAGGATACACAAATTGGAAAAGATGGAACAGAAAATGAGGATTCTGAGAAGGGTAAGTATATTTGAAACATAACATAGCTTGTGTTACAGAAAAGAGGGGAAATGTGGCAGACCAGACCAGGATACAAATCTGGATCCCTTGAGTCACTTGAACTTGTTGACAAATCAAATTATTACTAAAACAGTGCCTTGAAAGGTTACATAACAAGAGATTCATGGGCCACAACACTCTCCTAAATAACTTTGGTCCCTCTGTTCTTTATCAGCAGATTTTTCCCAATATATTCCTTTGTAAAATTAAGGTAATGTATGGTGGGAGGCTCCACCCTACCCCCATGTGTCATGATTTGCACAAACTTAAATCTGGGGTCACTATAGGCAAAAAAAGTTTATTACTGTGAAAATCTTTAACATTCTTCTTCTCAACAACAGCAAGGTCTTGCTTTTAATCATATTTATGGAGGCATCGGAAAGCATCCTTAGGAAGAGAAGATTTAATTTTGTTCAAATCATGACCCCAGGGGTAGGATGGGACAACAATGAGGGATTTAAGTTTTACATTGACATATTTAGGAAATCTTCTCAAGAACAGCAAATCCATTATTAGTCATATTGATAAGGAAAACCCTCAGATAGTGTACCCATAGATTACAGTTTATACAAATCATGACTCCATTGGTAGGATTGGGCCACAATGGGGGTTTGAAGTTTTACATGGGAATATAGATAATCAAGAAATAACAAAAATAGAGTGACTTCATTAAAAAAACAATCATTGGCCCAGAAAAGCTGAAACGTATGTGAAAGCAGCTAAATTATTCAAATCATGGTCTCAGGGGTAAGGTGAGGCCACAATAGAGAATCTAGATTTTACATTGAATTATATAAGAAAAATCATTTAAATCTTCTTAAAACTACTAGACCAGACAGGCTGAAATATCCTGGGATAGTGCAGGTTCTAAATTTTTCAGCTCACCTGAGCAGAAGGCTCAAGTGAGCTTTTCTGATCAAATTTGTTCGTTATCTGTCGTTGTTGTCGTTGTCGTCGTAAACTTTTCACATTTTCATCTTCTTCTCAAGAACCACTGGGCCAATTTCAACCAAACTTGGCACAAAGTATCCTTGGGTGAAGGGGATTCAAGTTTGTTCAAATGAAGGGCCACGCCCTTTTCCAAGGGGAGATAATCATGAATTTGTTAAAAATTAATGGCATTTTTAAAAAATCTTCTTCTCCAGAACCGCTGGGTCAGGAAAGATGAAACTCATGTGGAAGCAACCTCAGGTAGTGTAGATTCAAGTTTGTTCAAATCATGACCCCCGGGGCAAGGGTGGGGCCAAAATGGCCGACCCAAGATTTACATAGGAATATATAGGAAAAATCTTTTTCTCCATAACCACTGGGCCAGGAAAGATGAAACTCATGTGGAATCATCCTCAGGTAGTGTGGATTCAAGTTTGTTCAAATCATGACCCCCGGGGCAAGGTTGGGGCCAAAATGGCCGACCCAAGTTTTACATAGGAATATATAGGAAAAATCTTTTTCTCCATAACCACTGGGCCAGGAAAGATGAAACTCATGTGGAATCATCCTCAGGTAGTGTGGATTCAAATTTGTTCAAATCATGACCCCCGGGGCAAGGATGGGGCCAAAATGGCCGACCCAAGTTTTACATAGGAATATATAGGAAAAATTTTTAAAAATCTTCTTCTCCATAACCACTGGGCCAGGAAAGATGAAACTCATGTGGAATCATCCTCAGGTAGAGCAGATTTAAGTTTGTTCAAATCATGACCCCCGGGGCAAGGGTGGGGCCAAAATGGTTGATTCTAGTTTTACATAGGAATATATAAGAAAAATCTTCTTCTCAAGAACCACTAGGACAGGAAAGATGAAACTCATGTGGAATCATCCTCAGGTAGTGTAGATTCAAGTTTGTTCAAATCATGACCCCTGGGGCAAGGATGGGGCCAAAATGGCTGACCCAAGTTTTTTACATAGGAATATATAGGAAAAATCTTTAAAAATCTTCTTCTCCAGAACCACTGGGCCAGGAAAGATGAAACTCATGTGGAATCATCCTCAGGTAGAGCAGAGTTAAGTTTGTTCAAATCATGACCCCCGGGGCTAGGGTGGGGCCAAAATGGCCGACCCAAGTTTTACATAGGAATATAAAGGAAAAATCTTTAAAAATCTTCTTCTCAAGAACCACTGGGCCAGGAAAGATGAAACTCATGTGGAATCATCCTCAGGTAGTTTAGATTCAAGTTTGTTCAAATCATGACCCCCGGGGCTAGGGTGGGGCCAAAATGGCCGACCCAAGTTTTACATAGGAATATATAGGAAAAATCTTTAAAAATCTTCTTCTCCAGAACCACTGGGCCAGGAAAGATGAAACTCATGTGGAATCATTCTCCAGTAGAGGAGATTTAAGTTTGTTCAAATCATGACCCCCGGGGCTAGGGTGGGGCCAAAAAGGCGGACCCAAGTTTTACATAGGGATATATAGGGAAACCTTTTAAATCTTCTTTACAAGTACTTCAAAGCTATGATTAGTGATATTTATATGGAATCATCCTCAGGTAGTGTAGATTCTAGTTTGTTCAAATGATGAACGCCTGGAGGGGGTGGGGGGTGGGGGGGGCAGTAAATTCAAGCCTGATGTGCTCAGGTGAGCGCTGTGGCCCCTGGGCTCTTGTTTATATTGTGGCCTCGGGGGAGAGGGGGTAGAGTGGTGCTTCTATAGGGAGTTTAAATTTTTCTGTACTTTGAAATATACTGAAAAAAATGCATGGTAGCATAATAATAATATAATAGGAATAAACCGTATTCCTATATAATAATATATTCCTAATAATAATATAATAGGAATAAACCGTATTCCTGTTTATTTACGAACACGTGAAATCCTGCTTATGTCAAGATGTTTTTTGCAGAAAAGTTTGGTTTTAATGGGGCTCAAAAAAATTACATTATGGTGAATATTAAGGAACACATTTCACAAAGCTATTTTTTTTTTACATCCAACTTTAAATTAATTTTTTGGTTTACAATTCTTTTAAATGACGTAGAAGGATATATTTTACAAACCGGGCCTTTTTAAAAAAATATTTATACAAAATTTTATTCACAAAAAGTGAATAGGATCGGGCAGCAGGCAATGTCTATTTTATCCCTCTCCCTACACGGTCAAGATGAACACAAAGGCTGCCCCTCTTTTGAACAATTTCGCCAGTCAAGTTAAAGAAATTTAAAGTCATAGATAATTCCATCGTCGGTATATTTTATAAATTTACAAAATAAAGAGTGAAGTATTTAGTAAAAATAAACTGATAAACTGTAAGTAGTGGAAGAGAGACAACTGATAGAGAGAGAGAAAAAAAACTTTTTTAGGAAATGATTCCCCCATGTTGAGCCTCTTTTTGCGTCAAAGGAAGCAACTTGCACAAATTATCGAATCCAGTTGCTTCTAGGGCTGGGACGATATATCGAAATATCGATATGTCGTGATACATGTGAGGACGATACGCATATCAATACATATGAAGAAATATTGAAATATCGCCCAAAAAAATTTGACTTCTGTTTTTCTCAGTGTTTATTTAACATTTGGGGTTTAATATATGAAATAAATAAGTGATAAGCTAAATATAAATATAGATTTGAAATAAATTATAATTAATGCCACTTTAGTAAAATATTTTTGTTTTACAACATATAAACAACTATTTTGAATAAATTATTCTTATTTGCAAAGAAATAATTTGTTTATTTCAATGCAAAAAAAGATTTTATAAGAAATTAAGCATATCGTGATACATATCGTATCGTGGCTCAAATATCGTAATACGTATCGATATAGAAAAAGTTGTATCATCCCAGCCCTAGTTGCTTTGGACAATGCACACTTCTAAGATAAGTCTATGTGTTTCCGTTCGAGACTTACTGATATATGAAGAAATTGCCTTACACAGTACCAGTATTACTTGTTTCCTGATAATTCTTTGAATATTGTTGTTAGAAAAATGCATTTTGAAAATTGATGAATCGTGGCTGTTGTACATCTTGTACTGGGAATGGCCTTATGTTGTTTTTGCTTTGGTTGGTTAATTCCTATATAAATTTGACATAATACCGGTAATTACACATAAATTCATTCGAAGACATGAAACATTATAGTATATCTAATATAATATTGTGAATATATTAATCTTAAATGAATGAATACACACGATAATGAACACTGAAACCTAAATATACCCCATGCAACAAGTTGTGGGAGGTATAATGTGTTTGACCCCTCAGCCCTTTATTTTTTGTCAGCGCAACTCCTCATAAACCTCTGCACAGAATTTAGTCAAACTTTGCAGATATTTAGGACACAACGTGTAGATGTGCATATTACCAGATAATTCGGATTTCTTTATTGTTTCCGGGAATTTCAGCACTTTTCAACTTAGATTTTTGGCCATACCTTGAATATAGAAATCAGTTTGACAGCGAAACTCCTAATAAACCGCTGCACAGAATTTTTTTTCAAACTTTGCAGACATTTAGGACACAATATGTAGATGTGCATCAGGGAATTCCGATTCTTTTATTTTTTTCCTGGATTTTGGCTCTTTGAGTTTTAGGGGAGCGTGGGGTATGTGAGCATGCTCACTTTTATGTGCCCGGATCCATAGATCCGAGGCGCATATTGTTTTTGTCCTGTCAGTCTGTCTGTTTGTTTGTCTGTTGTCAACTTTAACCCTCATCATAACTTTTGAACCATTAAAGATAGAGACTTCATATTTGGTATGCATACTCCACCAACGAAGTTCTTTCAAATGACACCAAGGTCAATGACCTTGTGACCTTCTTTGTGACCTATTTGCTAAAAATAGCTTTTTCGAATTTTCACCATAACTTTTGAACCATGAGAGATGGAGACTTTATATTTGATATGCATACTTCACCAATGACACTCTTTCAAATGACAACAAGGTCAATGACCTTGTGACCTTTATGCTAAAAATAGATTTTACAAACTTTCTCCATAACTTTTGAACCATGACAGATAGAGACTTCATATTTGGTGTGTGTACTCCACTAATGAAGTTCTTCAAATGACACCAAGGTCAATGACCTTGTGACCTTGACTTATCTTCTGAAAATATTTTTTTGAACTTTGTTGCCGTCGAGCGCATAGTGTTTCACAAACACATCTTGTTCTTTCATTTTATTTGTTTTATGAAAGTTATTCAATTTGTTCGCCAACTTTTTGATCACCCCTCTTATGTAGTAAAATTTTTATTGTATCAGTCCACAATTTTTTTTTATATCATGCATTTCAGCTGATGAGAAGATTTCATTGATACAAGAGGAAAACATTGAAGGAAACACTGGTATGTATAATTTATTATAAAAATATACTGAAATAGACTCAAACTCATTTACTTTGAACTGTCGTTATTAAAAAAAAATTTGTTTATTTGAAATGTATTTAGTTTCCCCTGTAAAAATGGTACAGTAAAAAAGCTTGCTGTTTAGATTGAAATCAATTAAATTGAGAAAGCTAGTTTAATTGAGGCTATTCCAAGTTTTTTCTATGTTTAGCATTCATGTGCTCCATAGAGTTAGACACCCATATCAGGAATATATGCAACAATATGATGAGTCCTGAAATTGATTAAACAGGTCAAAATCTATAAATTTGTACAATTTCTCTAAAGTTTTGTAGAAATGTATATTATATAATAATTACATGTATTCAATATTATGTTTTATTGAGCTTTAAATACCTTAATAATAGTACGTTACTCAAGAATATATCTTTCTAAGAGAAATAAGATTAATAACATGTAATACTTTAAATGACGACATTTGTACAACTTTAAATACTTTGATTTATTATACAGTCTGTAGATAGCCCCTATATGATCCATTTAAATGCAAACAGTTCATAACACTAGCTGTATTCACAGGAGGATGAGGGCCCCCAAGTGAAATTTTTTTCAAACAGATCACTCACAAATTGCCTACAAATTGCTTTGAAATCACTTAAAAGTGATTTGTTTCAGTGATTTGTAAGCGATTCATCTAAATAAATCATGCTTAAATCACTTTCTACTAAAATGATGACTGTGATTTGCTTACAGTTTGTTATGAAAGGGTGATTTGCTTGCGATTTCTTTCCCATTTCAGACAATTTCTGAGTGATTTGTTAAACTTAGGAAATTGTTACAGTGATTTCTTCATGATTTGTTGAACTTAACCATTCTTCAAGGTGATTTGAAAATGATTTCTGGAACTTAGTCTTTCTTCAAAGTGATTTGAAGATGATTTGTTAACTTAGTCTTTCTTCTGGATGATTTGTAAATGATTTGTTGATCTCATGGTCCTTCTTCAGAGTGATTTGAGAATGATTTACTTCATAACTTCCGCCTGGCTTACTGATTGGTCAGTATTAGAAACTCTACCGCCAATTTTCATTAATCAGATTTGAATTGAAATGAAAGCTAGGAGCTAGATTGTGCTGTTCTGGATTCATTATAACCTCTCTTCTTTTGTTGAAACTGATGTTTTCTCCATAACCATGCAGAATATACAATGTAGTTTTAAGGTATGTATAACTGTATTTATGCTATCATTTCCTCCTTAGATTTAGTTAATATTCAATATAATATGTTCACATGCAATTTATTGTTCTATCAACAACCAAGTCAGTGGCAATTAATTATAATATTTAAAACAAAATCTATGTAAAGCTATAAGCTTCAGCAAAGTACTGGCTTTTTCAAAGTGTCTAGACAAACATTTATTTCAGATAAGAAAACATTTACCAACTTCTAAAAGTCAACAATTAATGCTTATGTCATATTCTGAATTTGGAGCCAAGTACATGTGTGTATATTTAAAATACATGATGCCATCTCAATGATGACACATCCTAGTAAAAGTCTATATTTTAAGATACTCTTGCCAAAAGTTTTTGGTTAATACACAACAAATACCGATATGCATGCATGTGTGTTTCAAATATTTGAGGGATGGTTACATGAGCATCATGCATTAACAAGTGTACAAGTGTGTATCCACCTGGAGTGATTTGAAAGTGATTTGTTAAACTGAAGTGATTTGTTTGCAATTTACTTGAAATGATTTGTTTGCAATTTATTCGGAGTGATTTGGTTGCGATTTGTTCAACAGAAGTGATTTCTACATGATTTATTCAAAGAGATTTCGTTGTGATTTCAGGGTGATTTGCTTACAATTTGTTAGGAGTGATTTGTTGGCTCATTTGCATGGGAATTTGCATCACTTACAAATCATCTTCAAATCACTGATTCATAAGTGATTTCTTAAAGTGATTTGTTTGAGGATTTTTTTCACTTGGGGGGTTTCTTTTTCATACATGTTAACTCTCCCGATTTAGGCGGGAGTCTACCGCTTTTTCACTCCATCTCCCGCCTACCGATTTAATTCAGAAATCTACCGCTTTTCTACAGAAAAGCTGCGTCTAAAGTATTTTTGTTTCGCTTGGGTATCCATTTTTGAAGCCACTCTCATAAAATCTCGTTAGATATCGCGTGATTTGACTCGGAATCATACAAACGCTTTTTTTGTACATAGATTTCAAGCACGGATTTGACAACGACAACAACATAAGACTACCAGTGATTACATTAGTTACAATAAATTAAGCAACATTCCTGCCATGAAAAAGGAGAAACAGCTTTTAAGAATTAGATGAAAACATTTGACATCGTCTTTAAAAGCACAGAAGCTCACAACTTTATCAATAAAGTCAATAGAAATCACTCGATTGACCAAGCCATGTGGCACATCTCTACTTTCGTTTTCGATCATCGCGGGAAATCTGATTTATATAACGAAGATAGGAACTTGGTTTAGATCTAGATTAAACCATGTCATCATTTGTTTTCTTTAAAAACTGAATGAACATTCAGTATTATTGCTTCTAGGCTATATCAGCAAAGATCACTCTTCAAAAGGCTAAGTTAAACAGTCAATCCAAGCAAAATGATGAGCATGAAAATATTTGAATTTGTACAATTTATGTCAAACTTAAGGTGTTTCTGTCTTCTTCTTTGCTGTTGATATTTAAGATTAATTAGTGTAGGTACCTGATTTCATTTAAGGCTTATAATATACATGTATATTACATGAAAGATATCGATAATCCAAGCGTTAAACAACACGCGCGCAATGCTACCGCTTTTGAGGTCTGAATCTCCCTATTTTTCATCACAATAGGTTAACATGTATGCTTTTTGCAACATTCTATAAAGTTTTGTCCCTAAAAGGGTATAGACTTAGGAAATGTTTAAACAGGGAACAGAGAAATAAAACACATCCAAAGTTCTTGGTTTTTTTTAATACCAAAATAAATTGAAAATCTTCAACTAAGTGCACAGTTATTATGAAGAGGATATCTTTTTAAATCTGTAAATTCCATGCCTGTGTGTCGTAGGTTCTGATACAAGGGTAGGACTTCGTTGAATCTTCACTTTATATGCATTTGTAACAGGAAAGGAGAAAATGAATGGCTGGACCGGGAATTGAACCCGGGACCCCTGTATCTCTAGTCAGGTGCTCTACCAACTGAGCTATCTAGGCCGATATCCACGGCCCCTACCATTACATTCCTCCCTTCTTAAATTGTCTTCGCCCTCGAAGACACAACCCAAGTTCTTGATTGCCCCTGGCAGCCCTGACTTTAAGCTGCAATTCCAGGGGTGGTCAACGGCATCAAATCTGTAACAGGAAAGGAGAAAATGAATGGCTGGACTGATAATCGAACCCGGGACCCCTGTATCACTAGTCAGGTGCTCTACCAACTGAGCTATCCAGGCCAATATCCACGGCTCTAACCATTACACATTACTGCTTTATAAATCTTCTCTGCACCTGGGAATATTGGAGGCAAAAAGAGTAAAACTCTTATAAAACTCAATGTAAATAATGTACAGTGTACTTGAAAGTTTAATAGAATAAGAAATTATGCAAGAATTTTATTATGTTATACAAAAAGAACTTTCACAGTTGTAAGGATCAGGAAGACTTGTAAGTAACAGATAAATAAAAATGAGGGAAAAGTAAAAAATGTCCATCGAAGACCCAAAGACGCAAATGTATGAGTTTTCAACAAGGGATAAAAATAGTGTAGAAACACCTTGGACCTCTTATTTAAACATGATTAATGTCATCTAATAAAAGGTTTATTTATTTGATATAGGTACTTGTGACAAAAGGAATATTAATGAGGGGAAAACGTATGAAAAAGATGTGTCTCCAGAATCAGGTATGATTGAATGATCTATTCAAAACTGTTCTTTGACATCATAGAGTAAAACTACATATGAAGTATTTTAATCATCTTATCAAACAGTCAATCATTAAAATCTTATTAAATTTAAATTTAGAGAAGGAAACTACTTTTCACCAAACAGATGAAAAATCTTCCGTTGAAGTTGATTTGGAAAATAAATCCAGCATCAAAAGTCTTACCCAAAAGGATGATTTCATAGAAGGTGGAACCTCCAGTAATAAAGAGTTAGATACCTTCTCAAATAATGCCAATCAGACTGCAGATAAAACGACTGACTTGCAACTTAGAGATGCAAAGGAGCCTATGGGAAGTGACTCCACTGAGGAGAAAAGAGCTCCTATTGGAGAAGACATAAAGACTACAGCAGAGTTACCACAGAATGGAAATAAGATGGAAACTCCGCCAACTGAAAGAAAAGTTCCAATAGCTGGAGGCTCAGTGGATGAAGGTACAACTTCAGAGGATTTAACCTTTTACACAAATTTTCCTGTCTGTAATCTTGGTTTTTAACAGTTTCTTAACATCACGGTAGTTGTGTCCTTTTTATACCCCTTTTATTTTAAGGGGGCCGACTATAGTTTCCATTGCGCAATATTTCGCGCATCATTGTAAAATGAAGTGTATTTACTTTTATAATGCAACTTTTTTCGCTTAATTACTAAAATTAAACAAAATTAAGAAATTATAGGTGTAAAAAATGTAATTACAATTTGATGTAACTGGTTTTTTAACCGATTTTGCAATTGATATGTAGGTTGACGTTTTGGCAGTATGTTTTTGACGTTATGATAATCTGTAGCTCTTAAAGAAAGAGGTAATAAAAATATTATTAAAGAAAAAGTAAGTATCATAGGCTCTTGAAATTTAAAACATAGAATTTGAGAATATCTCCAATATTTTTATTATGCTTTCATGTGAATCCATTGTGTACGTCATATTTTGTAATACTCTATAAAAACAGTAAAATTTGCTCTAATTTTTTGCATTTTGAGATGCCCCCTCTGGTAACAAGATGGTAGAATTTTGTGTTTCTTACATATATTGTATAATAAAGTATTACTCATCAAATATTATAGTTTGAACAAAATGTCTATTGTAGTATTTGTATAATTTGCTAGAAAGTGCTAAAAATGGCATTTTCCTATATAATCCTATAGTAAATGTACCTGTATTTTGAGACGGTCCCTAAAAAATACCTGGACAGGTAGATCTCCCCCAACCTTGGCATGTACACTGAAGTTAATGTAAATTATATATGGTATAAAAATGCAGAGTTTCGCTAGTGTGGTTTTCACATAATAAAACTATAGTCGGCCCCTAAGATTCGGTTTAATTTTTACCTGTCTGTATGTCTGCAAAAACTTGAACCTAACCTATAACTTTTGATTGATTTGAATAATGGCTTTGATATTTCACATGTTTATTCACTGTTACAAAGACCTTTTTAGACAACATATTTGACCACTTGGCCTTGCTATTTTATGTGACATTATATTTTGAGCAATTGGTGCTAGGCTTTTCACATCTGTGTTCTTTGTGATGAAACCCTTTTCTTGGTTTTAAGTATAGTTGTCCTTTACGTTAGCATTTGATCCACTTTTTAAAACTTTAACCTTGGCAATAACAGTAAGTGCCATGGCATTTTTATTTCAAAGATGTATTCCTTGTGACAATACCATCCATTTGATACCACTCTTTTGAGCTTATCTGAGCCACTGGACCAGGAATGTTAAACTTTTATGGAAACATTCAAAGAAAGTGTATATTTAAATTTGTTCTTATATACCCCATTGGATAGGGCGAGACTACAATATATTGTCATAGTTATACAATTTTTAGGTCATGTGACCTATTGCTATTTGTTTTCGTCCGTCGTCGTGCGTCGTTCATCGTGTTTTAACATTTGAACATTTTCAGCTTCTTCTCTGCAACCACTCAACCAATTACCACCAAATTTGGCATAAAGCATCTATGGGTGAAGGGAAACAAAAATTGTGGATTTCGTGGTCCCTGCCCCCCCCCCCCCCCCCCCCCGGGGTGTAAGGGGGGGGGGGCGAAAACCACCAAAATTAATGCAATCTTTAAAAATCTTCTTAATTACTCCTGGACATCAAGCAGTAAAACTGTTAGCATGAATGTAATAACCATTTAGTCCTCTACCAAAATTGTGAAATTCATGGCCCCAGGGTCAGAGGTTCTAGTGCTAGGGCAGGGCTCTATTGATTTTATTGTGAAATTGCATTGTTTCTTTGAAAATGTTCTTCTCTGCTCCTGGGTATAAAATAAACTAACTAAGTACATAGTTATAATGAGCAATAAGGGTGTGCAATATTACCGGTATATCGGTATATTGCGGTATTATCCACCACGATAATATATCGCGATATGAAAATCAGATACCGGTATTTCACGATATTTATAAAAATATATAAAAACCTCCTTTATTGTAGAAACTGTTAAAATAAAACTTGAAACTTCTAAGTCTTTTTCCTTCGTTGAAAGAATTCTTCGTCAGTTTCGTTCGGGAGAGAGAAAGAGAGAGGAGAGAGAGGGGGTGGAAGCTTTTAATTCACTGTTGCAGTTTTGAATATTTTACTTTGAAATAAAATTACTAATTAATAAGACTTTGAAGTAAAATTTATAAGGAAGAAAATATATAAAAAAAAATTTACAGGGTGTATACCATATGCATTGCGGTTCTCAAAATCTCACATTGAATCTACACGATCGACATCACGGTGAAATGTCAAGTTCAGTATACATGTACATATTACAAGTAAATGGTCATCCATGTTTTCACTTGTAGCAGTGTTGTTTTAATTATTTTTAATAACTTTCATGCCATTTTAAACACCTTATGCTATAGCAGGAGCATGTATATATTAAAACAGGCCATTTCCTGATTGTACGTCTTGATGTGAAATTAGGTCGGCTTAGACTAAATTACCAAAACGCACGAAAACAGGTCACAATTTCTTTCTGGTTTTTTAAATTTTATTTTGTAACCACAATAAAATTATTTTCATATAGGCCTAATATGTATATTGTTTTAATCTTTAATAACATTTTATGCTACTTCATTAACCCCCCCCCCCCCAAAAAAAAAAAGAATTCAATGAAAAAAAGATTATATAATCTGTAAAAAATTTTATTTCAATGTGAAAATTCTCCAAGAGAGTTCATCTTGTTTTACTATTTTACCTGGAATTTTATTAAAAGTAAAGTTTAATTTGGTGTGCAACAATGTCTTATCCCTCCTCCCGCTTTTAAACTTAAAGATAAATTCAAATAGTCTTTGAACTTGACAGCATTTCAGACATTCTGCTCAAATTTATTAATGATAATTAATCTACAATATATTGCAATATATTGCAATATTCAAAGTACAATATTGCAATATATCGCAATATGAATTTCCTTCGCAATACCCAACTCTAATGAGCAAGAGTGCCTCTACCAAAATTGTGAATTTTTTTGGCCCCAGTGTCAGGGGTTCTGGTGTTAGGGTGGAGCACTATTGATTATATAGTGAAAATGCATTGTAACTTTGAAATTCTTCTTCTCTGCTCCTGGGTATAAAATAAACTAACTAAGTACATAGTTAAGATGAGAAAGAGTGCCTCTACCAAAATTGTGAATTTTATGGCCCTAGGTTCAGGGGTTCTGTTGTTAGGGCGGGGCTTATAGGGAAAATGCATTGTTTCTTTGAAAATGTTCTTTTCTGCTCCTGAGTATTAAATAAACTAACTAAGTACATAGTTATTATGAGCAAGAGTGCCTCTACCAAAATTGTGAATTTTATGGCCCCAGGGTCAGAGGTTCGGGTGTTAGTGCGAGTTCTATTGATTATATAGTAAAAATGCATTATTTCTTTGAAAATCTTCTTCTCAGCTCCTGGGTATTAAATAAACTAAATTAGTATAAACTAATGCCTCAACCAAAATTGTGAATTTCATGGCCCTTGTGTCATGGGTTTTGCCATTCGGTGTAAGGGAGGGAGGCTTTATATACGCCCGCGAAGACGGACGTATTATGTTATAGGCTTCGTGTTCGTCCGTCTGTCCGTCCGTCTGTCCATCTGTTAGCTTTTCTCGTGTCCGGTGGTTTATACTATTATGCCTAGAGTTACCAATCTTTGTCAGGTGATACATCTTGGGTAGAAGGTGTGTCGCGCGCAAAAAGTAGGTCACTCTGACCTTTAATAAGCATGCTATAGCCAAATATGGAAAAATCCTGTCCGGCTCATAACTTGAAAACTATGAGACCTAGAGCTTTCAAACTTGGCAAAAGTATACAGCTAAAGTAGAAGGTGTTGGGCCCATTTCAAGGTCACTGTGACCTTTAATTTAAGTGATTTTTTTTTTTAAAAAATAAGTCTTTTAAATTTTAAATTTCATAATCCTAAAAAAAGTAAAAATATAGTTGTATCCTTATTAAAAAAAGTTAAATTAAGTAAAAACTTATTTTTTCATTATATGCTTTACAGCAATCTGTAACAAATGTTAATGCTTTGAGAGGAATTCAGTTTGTCCCTGGGCATAATTATCAAGCACTGGTCAAGAAGAATTTTATAGCAGAAATTCATGTCAAATTAGAGAGAAATTAATGAGTTTTTTTGTCAGAAGCTAAGAGTATCTCTAGATCTAATGCAGCTGTTATCTTTATCTATCTCTTGGGAGTTGGGCAAAAAGAAATGGCCTCATAGTTGCTTGTGGTAATTAAGAGTTCTTGATGGCTAGTCCAGATAAAAATCTTCCAATTGGTGTAATGTAACAAATTTATGTTTTAGTGTATGATTAAAACTAAATTAGTATTGCATAATATAATTAAAACTAATTATACATGTGTTCATTAAAAAAAAAATATATATTTAAATATTATTTCAATTTTTATATATTTGCAACAAATAGCAGTCATGTCTCACTTAGAATTTTATAGTTTGAAGAAATAATAATTTATGTTTGATTTTTTTTATTAAACTGTAGCATTTCTATTATTTCATAAAATATGCAATAAAAATTTTTAAAGTTTAAGTGAGCTGCAGATGGATATTTGTTATGCTCTAACACAACCAGTTTAGAGTTATATGATGTATTTGTTATAACCAATCCCTACACTGCAAGTCTCTTAGAGATGTATGATAAGAAATGGAAATTAGATCATTGAAATCTGTGTAATTGTTAATCAAGGTACCCGATTTTCTTGCATCCTAACCAATTTATGATTAATGAACAATACCTAGGTATTTGACGGGCGTATCATGCTGTGGGGGGCACTTTATTTGATTTAATATGTAGTGAAAAATACATCAATTCTTTGAAAATCTTGTCCTTTGCTACTTGATGTTGTGCTTATGATCCAAGTATACTTATTTATGAGGAAGAAAGTGCATCTAGCAAAATGGTTAATTTCAGCCCCCTTGGTCAGGGGTATTGGAGGGGGGGGGGGGATTACATATTCTAAAATAAATGAATGCTTTGAAATCTGCTCTTTGGCATGATTAAACCATT